TTTTAAAAGTTCATTAACAGAAACTTATCATTGTCATTCATTTCCAGGCTCGTTAAGTTGTTTGAAGCCAGAAACATGGATCGATTCCACCAGTTGTTGCTGTGACCGCCACTACAGACCACAGAGTTGGAACGGCACTTGGAACAGTCTCCATCGTAGCACATAACAGTTGCTTGTAGTATTTTCGGTAGCTGTTTTTTCAGTTTGTCCACATCTCCGCAGTAAGTAGAGTACATCTCTTTGATCACAAGGCTACACCTAGATTTTATGTCCTGGCTCAAAGTTTTCTTTTGATTTGTTTTTTCAACTTTTGTTTTGCCTCTGAACATTCCGTCGCTAAAATTAGCCTTAAAACATTGGCGAAACTGAGATGAACTAAGATGGGCTGGGTCAGCTAGTCTTTCAACTTTCCACATAGGATGTAAAGTTCACATTGCCTCTTCAATTCTGGTAGCTGACGTTGAATCTCCGTCTGTTGTGGCAAACTTGATGAGCACCCCTTGAATAGATAAATCTTCACCAATTATTCTACCCATTTCTCTCTCAGATAAAGGTGCATGTCTTGTCAGATTTGCTGTGCATCCCTCGTGTCCTGGACAGTTGACAGTAATGCCTGTGTTTCTTAGCCACGCTCCAGTCCAACAAAGTTTATTTTGCAACACAGCACTTATGATATATTTCTTATCTGTGTTTGTCTCACAAGCAATGCCGATTGATTGGGATGCTCCTTGTCTGGGTTTCTTGCTGTGTCCTATGGTCAGACAATTGTACCGGCCATCCAAAGCCACATTTATCACGTTAGGGTTGGAGGCACCTCTTCGTCTATTGACATTTTTCACCTCTTCCACCTTAGTTCTCATGCTTTCATTGTTCACCTCTTCCACCTTAGTTCTCATGCTTTCATTGTTCACCTCTTCCACCTTAGTTCTCATGCTTTCATTGTTCAAGTCAGTTGTCTTTGAACTCACATAACTGGATAACTTGGACATACCACTTTCAGCTGGTGGGGGAATGTCTAAATCTGCCAGTAGAAGCCTAGTCCTTGAATTGCCTAAAGGCATGTCTAGCAATCCAGCT